TAGAGAGGAGAGTTCGAAGTATCAACTTTGTACAAACTTTTTTTATTAGTTACAATTAGACGATAGTGTTATATACAAAGAGTGTGAAGGAGCGTTTAAAGTATTTTTTTATTAGTTATAACTTTTATGCATTCATGGAAGGTTTAAGGATGTAAATGTGCAGAGAATAATTAGACAAAGTGAAACTAATATTTTAATATACCTCAGTGTATATTTGTATATTTCAATATACAATATTATATACATATAAGATTAAAGTATGTAATAGATATGATATTCATTACACGTGTATCTTTAATAGACATGATTAAAAAAAATATGCAAGATTCTTAACTCTTTGTTTTAGAACATAGAATAACATTCATATTCGTGGTACGTATTATAGTTTCAGTTTGAAATAAAAAAAACAAACTGTAATTACTAATGCAAATAAATAATACAATTATAATTCTATATAATACTATTACATGGAATTTGAATTCAAAATTTTATATTAATACGAATAATACAAATTGTATTTACGTATTATTATTGTGTTATTTGAATTCGAATATCAAGTTCTTTAACTTGAGAATTAATAGATATAAAAATTAATATATAATGTTTCAATATTTTACAATATCTGCGTGAAATATAATAGAACGCAATATAGAAGCAACAAAAATATGAGATACAAATGCAGTGAAAATGTACCAAAGATTTTGATCGGTAGTGTATATGTTGTTCTATGTCGAGATTTTTCAAAACTAGCGTCACCGTTTCACGCTTTTGTTGACTTCAATCGATTTCAAACCTCGAGTTTTATGTACCTAGGTTCAAAAGCCAGACCTTTCGAGCAATTTAAATTTTGAAAGATGGCCAGACCGAAAATCGAGTTTAAAATGAAAATATGGACGAGAGAGGTGGATAACAGAGCAAATCGCGTAGCAAATAAAAGACACGGATAAAATCTCTGACTCGATGGTGCTTTCGATGTTATTTTTTTTCAAAAATATTTAGACTCGCTCTGTGGTTAAAAGCTCCTTTGTTAACGATGCATGGTAATTGAAACATCGTTGTGAATTTATCGTAGATCGTTAAATTAAGTTAAATATTACGTTATACATTACAGCTATAATAAATTAATACTGCTGCTGACCACTGAAGTATGAAACTGAAACATCGTTGTGAATTTATTATATGTTATAAATTAAATTATATATTACGTTGTGTCATAAATTGATATATGACTAGAAGCACCGGCTGCTGAAGTATGAAATTCGTGTCAGGAAACAAAATTTTATTTATGTATTTTACGAAAAATTATTTAAATTTCTGAAAACCTGTCGTTTTCTACAAAATTACAAATTCCGGTAGTTGAAGATACGTCCGTACTTCGATTTTTACAGTAAGGGACAATATCTAAAAGCGAGTCCAAGTCATGATGAAGTTTAAAAAAGATTTGGATAATAAACAAGTTACATCAAATTTATAATTTTGTATATTTGAAATAGAATGTATAATAATATTTTTTTTTATAATAATACAGAAATATGATACAATACATACAATATACACAATAATACAATAATATATGCAATATACAATAATACGTACAATACACACAACAATACAATAATAATATGCAATGTATCTGTCTGAAATATACAAACTTGTTGTAAATTTGAAGTTGAAGCATGCTCTCGCGTTAATGAACGAGATTGACGCGGCAGCTGAAGTTAAAATTTGCATTCTCTTTACATTGGTATCCAGCTAATTGATTTCGTACGGAATTACAGCGCCACGAAGAATTTTACAAAGCCCGAAGGACTACGAGTCGCCGACACGGCCGTTACGGCAAGCCGGGCAAATTTGCCCGTTACTTTTCAGCCCTGGAACTGGGATCACTGGCATGATCACGTCCCCGTTCGCATCGAGCGATTCGTTAACGAACGACGTCACGAGGGATCACAGCGACGGAATTTGGAACGAGTCGCAAGCGACGGTCCTGCAGGCTGACTCGTTGGCCCTTTTGACACCGTCCTCGAGGAGAAGGCATCTGCTGCTTCTCCAGCATCAGCAACGTTCCTCGATGGACACCGAAGCGTTGGACATCGAGGAGTCGATGGAGTCGCGTCCGTCGAGTCCGAGGATACGTCTCGAGCCTGCGACACCTATTCAACCTCTAACACCAAGGTAAGCTTTCGTTTATGTACTCGTTTATGTAGATCATGTGCAACTGTATGTGCAAATGTATACTTTTTTTTTTTGCATTACGCATTGCAACTGTACTGTATTAATTGCTCGTGAAAGTATTTTATTAATTTAGTATTCTTATTATGTAATTAACTGATACTCGTATTTAGGGTAATTTACGAGTATATTGTGGGCGTTACATGAAATGTTTTGAAATTTCGTCAATGATTATCGTGGTTTAAAGCAATTTGAAATTATATGTGTTGAAGTTACAGGATATTTAATGTTAAAACAGAAATCAGAAACATTCTACAATTTATTATATTATTAATAAACTTCGATGTTCAAATCATTTGCGATCGCACGTAATATACGATAGATATTCAAATTTCACGAACCACATTACATTCGCAACTACAACTTTTATACCTTGGGTTTCACAGAAATTACAGAATCACACGCACGTATACATAATGTTCAAGATGTTAATTTTAAGTAATGTTAAATCATCTAAATTATTTCGGTTACTGTTGATGTTAAGAAAAAAAAAAAGATTAAATAAGGGACATTTCGACAATTCTTTTCAAGGTCATTGTACTTTCTCATTTCGGTAGATTAACACCCTTTACATTCTTTATAGCGTGATATTGTAGGTAGAGAAGAATTCAACAACCTGTAACATCGTGACTTTGAACAGAGATAATTTAGACTTGAAATTAACATCCTACACCTTTCAACACATTGTTGACTGACAATTTTACACAGAAGCTATCTCGTGTGATTATTATTTCGTAGTTGAAAGTGAAACAATCTAAAACTTCAATATACTTTATTTATACAGACTGAGCGTGAATAAAATTTATCTCTTATATTTCTTATAAATATTATATCTTATACATAATATATTTTAGTAATTTTTTTTTTTGGATTTCCTTTTGAAGAGTATACTCTACACGTTCTAGTTGGATTCTTTTTTTTATACCAGTGTCTATTTTTTTCTAAAACGTGGTCTTTTAATTGTCCTGAAAGCTTGAAAGATGAATCAATCTAAGGAGGTCTTTCAGAAGTTTTGTTATTATTATAATTTATTGTTTTTTTTT